CTGTTTATCAATAAAATTTTGAAAAAAAAATATTGCATGCCTATGTCTGGTAATCTCAGCAACAAATTTGATGATAGCAATACATAATATAAAAACCATTGCTAATTTTTTATTCTTATTTTGATATTTTATACCATTGTTCTTGTTTTATATTCCTTTTTTGTTCTTACCTGTTTCCATCTTTTTCCTCTTTATAATAAAAAATAGTACTAAAAAAGAAGAATCCGTCACACCCACCCATAATTGCCCCGCCCCCTTGCTGGTCAGGCCCCATGAGATGTTCATCCATTAGCCATCCATAGATTGATCAATTGATGAGCATAGCGCCACCATGATGCAATCGTTTTCTACAACCCCCACCTCTGGACACATGAGGTTTTCAGGGACATTTTAGATATAAACAATAACAATTTCTTCCGTTTCAAATTTTTCCTTTTATTAGTACAGTGCTTGTTTGCAGTAATGATTACATACTTTGTGCAGAGGTAGCACGCATGCATAATTTGTCTTCATTATTTTTCACATTGCCTGCCCCTTCTTTTCCTCCTCCTCCCTCCTTCTCACAGTCCCCTTCCCGTTTGCAAATATCAATCCACCTCTTTCTTACTCTCTAACTTTTACTTTGCTCTTTATTTGCATTTCAGTTTCTCATGTGGGACATTTATTTATTTATTTATTTTCCGTATTTTTAGTACAAGGTCTACAGGGTCTACAGATCAAACTCATAGTAATTTTCCTGTTTTCAGCCTCCCAAGTGCTCGGATTACAAGTGCTCACAAGATGCCCAATCTCGATCACCATCTCAGCACGCCCCACAGGCAGGGTCAGTATGGCATGCTGGGGGGTGAAACCCCAGCCGCTATGCTCTGCCTAAGCAGGCAATTTAGTCTGCTGAGCTGTCAGACAGGCTCTTTTTTTCTTTTTCTTTTTCTTTTTTTCTTCGTATGGGATATTTAAACTTATGTGCCTAGTTTATGTCACTGAATAGCATGATCTCAAGTTGTATCCATTTTCCTACAAATGACTCATGAATACCTCCTTTTCCCTCCATGTCGTGGCCAGCCCATGTCCTGTGACCTCTGAACTCATTCTGGAGGGAGTCACTTACTTGAGCCCAGATACACCAAATCTTGCACAAGGTGGTACAGTCCATGAGATAGACCATAGACTGCACACACAATCCGGGCTCCTGAGGTTGTTGCTCAAGCATTTTCCCTGGCTGTCTAGGGAAAACGTGTTCCCTCCTTGGCTCAGGGGAAACAGCCCCCAGCTGCACCTCTGAACCCAGGCTTGCACAGAAGAGGACATGCCTGGGAGTCACTAGCCTTGTCTTTCCATGGATTCCAGGCCTGGTGGGAGCTCCTGGCTTCCAGTCTTCCCACCATCCTTTGCTCTTCAGTATGACTACAGCACAAGTTCGTTTCCATGACTGATGAAGAACTGTGAAATGGACTTGATTCCAAGGAACATGGGGGAATCATTCTCACTTCTAGTGTCATCATCCTTCTTTATCTTCAGTATTTTCTAACTTTCATTGTGGAATATTTTCATCTTGAGTAGGTAGATTTAAAGGTATTCGATTTCATTTCTCACTTTGTTTTTTCCCTCTGATAGTTCTAGGAATGTATTGTTTTCCTGATTGACTTGTCAACTAGCTAATTCCTATAGTTTAGAGTTTGATTTTTCTCAAGTTGATAGCATGTCCTGCTATTTGTTGAGCTTATTTATCAAATGTAAAGGTGTTTTGGTGGAGTCTTTAGAATCTTCAAAATACAGATTCATATCATCTGCCAATATGGACAATTTGACTTTGCCTTTTCTTATGTATATTCTTTTTCTTTCTCTTGACTAATGGTTCTGCCTAAAATTTCAAGAACTACATTGAATTGCAGTGGAACAACTGAACATCTTCACCTGGTTCCTCATTTTACAGTATGTTCTTTTAGCTTTTCTCCATTCAGAATGATGCCTTCTATGGGTTTGCAGTAAATACACTCTATTAGTGTATTTATAACATACACTAATTAATACTGCAATTAGGTATAGATTGAGATATAATACCACAATTCCTCGTTCTCTTAGGCATTTCAACATGAGTGGATGGTGAATTCTGTGAAGATTTTTTCTCCATGAATTGAAACATAATTTTTCCTTAATACTATTTATGTGGTGCGCTATGTATATTGCTTTTCACTTGTGGAACGCTCTGTGTACCTGGACTTCTCTGTAAACAAACTCTAATCTGCATTAACCCCTCCTTTGTTATGATCACTCCCCAAAAATTCCAGACCCCTTAGTGCTCAGTTGCATAGCTTTGATCTCATCCCTTTGATTCTCATCCCTTTACTCATTCTAATTCTGTCTATGTATGCATCTCTGTCCAGAACATGTACCTGTACCCATTGAGGATGGGGACTGAGTCAGATCTAACAACAAAGTTGTAGGATCTGCTTGATCTCCTTCAACTCCTCCTCCAGCTCCTCAGCCTTCTGCCGCAGCTGTTCAGCTAGCGGTGACTTTGCCCCCTCATACAAATGCTTTGACTCTTTGTAAATGTTGTACCCATTCATCCCAAGGGACACAGTTCCTAGGGCCACATTTCCTATCCGGGCTCCTGTGGTCAGTGACAGGGGTGTACCTGGAAATGCTCTCTGCACTTGCTGAGGCATTTGGGCAAAGAGCCCCCGACGGGTTGGGAAGTGCATGGCATCACGTGCTAAGCCAGGGTTGGCTCTAGCTACCCTAAGAGCACGGATGTTCATCACCAAGCCTTTCATGTTCTCGCAGAATTTCACAATTTTCATAACATTTTTTGATACAATATTACCCAAAAGCTTTAGTAATCTCATCAGGTTGTTCTCAGCAGTTGACAGGATGCGTTTGGCTTCAGCTTCAGCTGAGGACATACTGGACTCTTCTATGACACTAGTGGTAATACCGGATAGAGCAGTCAATACTCCCAGAGCTTTCCCAGCTGCTGAGAGCAGTAGACTGCCCCCTACTGTGAAGGGTGCTAGAGTCAGGCCAGAGATGTTCATGACATCAGAGGCAGCGCCAACAGAGCTGGTCACCACATTGGAGATGGTGCAACCTTTGTGCACCTGGTCAACCTCTTCGGCAAGGGCGCGAAGTTTCTGTACACATGACTCAAATTCTGCTTCCACCTCAGGAAACACTTTCAAAAGCTTCTTCCGAGCCAAGATGTCTTCCTGGAGGCTTCTTTGGTCCTCCATTGTCCTGTTTGCTGTAAACTTCTTCAAATAACCATGCAGCTCCTTTGCTTCATCCCTTCAATAGTAAAGGTCTGGTGTTAAAAAACAAAACAAAACACATTTTATCTATTAAGTGGGCTCAGTGGTAACTCTCCTGCTATTTGTTGCATATATTAGTGGAGCTGTATTGTAAATGAAATGGAAATAAATTTTACAGATATATAGAATTTTTCTTTCACCAGTGAACGTGTTTGGTATGATAGATAGGGTGTGTGGTACTTGGTGAACTCAAGGGCTGTTGAGTAAATTCATATTCAGATCCTCTTTAGAGGCAGATGTTTGATGAGATGCTTTCTCTCTTCAGGTTAACTACCAAGTTGTGTGTAGAATGGCAGTGCTGCAGATGAAGGAGAAAAGTGCAACAGTGGAAAGCTTAATTCATAGACTTAGTATGTAATGAAAAATTAATCTGACTCAAGGATGTCACCCTTTTCCCTCATTGCTGGCAAGAGAGCTGAAGGAACTTGAAGTCTTTTCCTGACTGAGTGTCTGTGTCTGAAGGGAGACTCTGGCTACAGCACCACACAGTTTGATATACCCAGTCTGAAAATCCAATAGCTAAAAATGCTGTGAACTGGAAAGTATTTGAACATGTGGCTGATATCACAGGTAGAAAATTCCACATGTGATTTTATTGGCTAGGTCACAGTCAAGACACAGGATTGCTAAAAATATATAGAATTACTTTCACATTATACAAAAAAGCATCAATGAATTTTATCTCTCAGGTATGTGTTTTGTCCCAAAGATTTCGTGTCCACAAGATTTTTTTTAAAAAAATACAGAATCTATGATATTATTCATAAAAGAGACTCAGTCTTCACATGGTGATGTTGATGGTGACTATGGGATCATTTTTGTCCTGCAGGGGAATAGGCCAGCAAAGCAACTAACTTCTGGGATGGGAAGAAGTTTCAGGACAGTGTAGATCCAGTCTCCCAAGACTACAGACATCAAGGACTGGGTTAAAAATGATTCTTTCCATGACCAATATGTAGTCAGGAACTTCTGGGCCTCTTTTCAAATAGTTGTTGATTTGAATTACATTTCTGCCCTGTGCATTTGGGCTTAGCAAGAAACGTCAGATTAACAGGAAGCTCCTGCTCCTCACATCTCTTCAAGTTCTCATCCCTGACTTTGATGTGTTATTCCATGGCCTGCTTTAGCAAAAGCCCCACCAAAACCATGCTGCCAGAATTCTCCTCTTGTCATCCCCAGTAGTTGTTAGCTCTCCACTGCCCACGACTTTTCTTGTTGGTTCTATATCCTACCTGTCTTTGTTGTATCCAAGTGCTCTCCCCCATTACCACAATCTTCATGTTTACATTCTTTTTCACTGCTTCCACATGTGTCAGAATAATGTTTTATGTCACAGGGTGAGCCATACTGATAGTTAGCTCTCCATCTGAATTGTCACACATGAAATACAGGACCGCACTGTGTCCTATAGACATAGATACTACATGTCCAAAATTCTCCAGGCTCTGCCTGACATATCTGTTCCTTTCACTGATTTTTTTTAACTGTGTCCTTTCCTGGTGACACACTGTGTCATAACTATTTACAGTGAGTCCTGTAATTCTCTTGGGTCAAAAACCCTGTCGATGCTTGATATGAAAAATGAGAGTGGCCTTAAGTAAGATTATAGAAGACTGTGCCCTCAGACTCTGATGTTTGGCTAATTCTTGGAAGTTGACAGTGAAAAACTGAAACTCCAGAAGTAGAAGAAGCTGTGCATTGTATATGCTCTGCCATTAGCTCTTGACCCATCTGGTTGCCCTTTGCCTTTCCCAACTAAATACCACTGTGTCCCATTGCTTCCACAGCAGAATGGAATCAGAAGACCTGGCTATGGGCATTGCCTACACCCTGACTCTGCACCTACCTTACTGCATCTTGACACATCTTATACCACTCCTGACCTGGCACCCCAAATTCAGGATGACTGTCAGATGTCACCTACCTGATAAACACCTTGGTGACAGGTTCAGATGTGTGTGACTAAGGCCAGTTGCAAAGATTCATGAGATTGAAGGGCCCAGATATATGAGTTATTAAGCCTAAAAAGGACCTGATGATAGGTGAAGCTGCTAAGTCAGAAAGTGGTAAGGTCACTTGTAAATGTTTCATACCAAACAGATGCCAGCAGTGATCCTGTCCCTTCTGAGCATCAACACCCCTCAACCTGAGGCCATTCATTGCCAAGGAATAGTAGGGAGGAAACTTCCCTCTGGGAATTTTGAGAAGGGTCATCATCATCCAGGTAACTGCTTGGAGAAGGAATGTATGCCTAGGGGAATCCAGTCCAAAGGGGTGCAGGTTGGCATTGTTCAGGGGGCTATGAAAGATACCTGGACAATCCAGCATCCTCTGTAAACATCTTCCAGACTTTATCATGAACCAGCAGTGTCTGGAGATCATCTGGACTCGTGTTGCCCAGCATAAAGTAATTTAGTTGCTCAATGTCGGCCATGATTTCTAGTTGCAGAGAAAAAGAACAAGGTTAGAAGAGAGTATGGTGCAGTGTAAATGGCTAAATGTTCATCTTAGTGAGCAGCTCTCAGACAGGTTTGGGGAGTTTTGCTTTGTTTTTGCATGACTGGGAATTGAACCAATGGTTGTACCTTCAAGGGAAGAACTTGTCCACTAAGCTATAGCCCTAGGCCATTTCAACTTTCTATTGAGACTAGGTCAACCAAAGTTGGCTGGACTGGGCTTGAATTTATCATCTGTAGCCTCAGCTACCTAAGGAGTTGGAAATACAGGTGTGTACCGCAATGTTTAGAACAGTGGGATATTTTTGATGATGCCAGTGGTGTGACAAACTAAATTATGTCTACAAATTTTTGATGATTAAGACTCAACTCCTTGTCTCCATATTTGAAAGTAGGAGTAAAGTAGTTAAGATTGAATGAAGTTGTAGAATGGTGGCCCAAGTCCATATGACTTGTGTCCATATAAGAACAGAAGAGACATCGAACTTCTCCTTCCCTCTCCTCCTTTCTCTCTCCCTCTCTCTCCCTCTGTCTACCTTCCTGTCTCTTTTCTCCTTCCTGAAAACAAGAATAAATCCCTCACCAGAATCCAAACCTGCCATCTGCCACTTGCCACACACTGATCCATGGCTTTGTTGCCAGAACTATGAGAAAATGGCCATCTTTTGATTAAGCTCCCCAATCTTAGAATCAAAAGGATAAAAAAAACACAGATTTGTAGAATTGATGGAGAAACTGTTGATGTATATAACAAGCACATTTAACCCAAAAGAAAATTCATAGATTGAAAAAAAAATCAAAGAATAGAAATGTATATTCCATGAAATTGGAACCCAAAATGAAGCAAAAGTTATTATCATTATTATTATTATTATTTTATTATTATTTTATTTTCAGATGAAGTGGATTTCAAGCCAAAAATAATCAGAAGAAGCAAAAAGAGATCACTACATATTAAGAGTAAACTCAACGGAGAGAACAGTTATAAACATATGTGCACAAAATCATCTTTATAAAGCAAGTATCACTGGATATATAAGATTAGAGAAACACTAGCACTATTATAGTAAGGAACTGCAATACCCCACTGTCACAAATAAATCAAGTAGATAAAAAATAGAATCAACAGAAAAACATCAGAGTTGAACCAAACCCTTGAACAATACTTCTGCACAGTGTTCACCCAAAGACAACAGAATGAGCATTCTTCTCAGAGGCACATAAAATTTTCTTCAACAGAGACCATGCTCACTAATAAAGTATAAAAATTCAGTAAATACAAAAGAATTGAAATTATCTTATGCATATTATTAGATCATAGCACAATGAATAGAAGTCAGTGGTAAAGAAACTATAGAAATATACCAATGCATGGAAATTAAACAACACATCCTTGAATAATCAATGGGTCATAGAAGAAATCAAGGGAGAAATTAGCTTCCAGAATCAAACTATCATACCAGTACAAACTATCATACCAGAATTTATGAAAACAGCCCAAAGAAAATGTTCATACTTGTGAATGTCCATAGTGGAAAAACACAGTAGCTCAAACTAACAAAAACAGAACAAATTATATAATGTTGTATCAAATGACCTAGAAAAACAAAAACAATAAAATCCAAAGCTAATACAAGCAGGAAATTACAAAGATCAGAGATGAAATTGAGACTCAAGGAAGCCTCAACACAAAGAATCAATGAACAGAAGAGCTGGTTCTCTGAAAAAATATAAAAACTATGCACACTCTTAACTGATCTTATCAAAAGGAAAGGAAGACCCAAATCAATGCAATTACAAATACATAAAAGGTAAAACCATAACAGACACCAAGGGAATACAGAAGATTATTATCAACTACTTAAGAAAGATGTGTTAGCACTACATGCTGTGCTGGCCCTGTCTCTCTGCACTGAGATGGGGTGGCGAGCATGTCTAATCCCAGCACTTAAGAGGCTGACAACAGGAGGATCACTATGAGTCCAATCTGTGTAGTGAGACCCTGTAGACCTTGTACTAATACAATAAAAAAGAAAAAGTCTACGCTGAAATAAATTAGAGAATTTAGAAAGAAATGAGTTGATTTGTAAACACACGTGAATTAGTAAAATTGAACCAAAAATACTTAAACTTCTGAATAATCTAATAACAGGCAGTGAATTTGAACCACTAATTAAAAATCAGTCAACTTAGAAAAGTCCACCAGATCCATGACTGAATTGTGTAAGAAATTTAAGGAAAATCTAAATTAATATTCCTCAAACTAGTTAATAAAATTGAAAGTGAGAAAGTATCTAGAATGCCATTGATGGAGGTAAGCATTACCTTGCTTTTAAAACCAGACAAGCATCAAGCCAAAAGGAGAACTACAGGGGAATCCCTCTAGTGAATACAGACACATAAATACTCAACAGGACGGTGACAAACACAATGCAACACATCATCAGAAACATCATATATGATGACCATGTTGTCTTTATCCCACAGGTGCAAGGATGCCTTAACATACACAAATCAATAGATGGAATGCATCGCATAAACAGAAACAAGGATAAAATAACATAGTAATCTCAATAGACACAGAAAAGTCTTTGCCAAGTCCAGCATCCATTTGAGATAAAAAGTAACCCTGAAGAGAACAGTTATGGAAGGACCCTTTCTCAATCTGATAAAAGCCACTCATGACAAAGCTCCTGCCAACATCATACTAAATAAGGAAAACCTGAAAGCATTCCTTCTGAAATTAGGAAGGATAAAGGATGTCCACTCTCACTGCCCTTGTTAAATACAGTGCATAAAGCATCAGTCAGAAGTGCTGAGGAAATAGCTCAGCGACATGAGCGCCACACTGGCAAGCACAGGATCCTGATTTGGATCCCTGGTAACAACAACAACAAAAAAAATTAGCTACAGCAATTAGGCCAAAGAAGAAAATAAAAGGGACTCTTTCAGGTCCTCCTTTCCAAGATGACAAAAAGAAGGAACAACGGTCATGCCAAAAAGGGCCGCGGTCATGTGCAGCCTATTCGCTGCACGAACTGCACCGGGTGCATACCCAAGAATAAGGCTATTAAGAAGTTTGTCATTTGGAACATAGTGGAGGCCGCCGCCGTCAGGGACATTTCCAAAGCGAGTGTCTTCGACGGTTATGTGCTTCCCAAGCTGTACGTGAAGCTGCATTACTGTGTGAGTTGCGCCATCACAGCACAGTGGTCAGAAATCGATCTCGTGAAGCCCACAAGGACCGAACTCCTCCACCCCGATTTAGACCTGCTGGTGCTGCCCCACGACCTCCACCAAAGCCCCTGGAAGGGGAGCTGGGTCTTAATGGGCTGAAGGAAACTATCTTGAGAAAGAAATAATAAATTGAATGTTATACCTTAAAAAAAATAAAAAATAAAAGGGCTTTATATAGGAAGGATATATTCAAATGACCATTATTTGCAGATGGCATGATCTACCATGTGGAAGGACTTGGAGAATTAATATCCAAATTCAGCAATGCAGCTGGATATGAAATCAACACATGAAAATCAGTAGTGTTATTCTACTCCAATAACAATTAGGAAATTGATCTAATTCACAATAATAGAAGAAAAATTGAATGCTTAGGAATTAACCTCAGGAAGACAAAGATCTCAGAAACAAATACTACACTACTAAAAGTAATATACTAAACCACTAGTGTACTTTTAGTAGAGCAAAGAGAACATCAGATAATTAAAGATATCCTCAGTTTCTGGAAAAACAGGATCAATATAGTAAGAATGGCCATAATTCCAAAACTGATATACAAATTTAATGTTATTGCAATAAAAAATACTAACAACATTTTTAGGTGTATATTCAGAATGTTTTTAATAATTGTACTGCCAATTTCTGCTGGTCTCTAAAAGGAGTACTTAATGCTTACATTTTTTTTAGGCTTTATTTTTATTCTTATTTTTTTCTTTTTAATTTCTTACATTTTGTTACTGTTTCTTTTGTTTTTCTTTTAACCATTCTTACACTTTTATATCTGGTAACTCACAACACATTTACATTCTAGCTGCAAGCAGCCAGGCCCCTTTCCTTCCTGGGGACAGTGTGAGTGCCTGCCTAGGCCTGGTGAGGACCACTGTGCCTCTGGATCTACCTCCTGGCTGCAGTCAATGCTTTGGGCATGGCTGACCAGGCCTGTGTCTCTGTTCCAAGATCCAAACACCTTAATAAGTTTGTGAAGAAGAGGATGTAGTGTGGTTTGTCCAATGCCCAGCTCTCCATCAGCTGCCTCCAGGGACCTGCCAGAACAAGTTCCCTCTGCATTCCTTCCAACTAGTTCAACAAGAAGTGCTCTGAGCTGTACTCCACACTCTCTTCCTCTGCCCACAGCCTTTTACCCATCCTGGTCTCAAGGACTCACTCTTGGACCCGTGCAATGAGGCAACACCCCCAGGCCTGGCACAAGGTCTCTTTGGGAGAACCCTGGCATAAAAATTCTGCTCATGATCCCACTGTTGATGCTGCCACTTTGGTGTTAAATATTTTTAGAAAAGTTCAAAATATGTTTTCCCTCTTTGATCATTCCAGCTACCTTAATTTTGCTTTTGCCTTGTATTTTGCCAGAAATCATTGAAGAAGCCCAAGGATAGCTTCATAAGCTCTGGGTTGTCTTCCACAAGCAATAATTAAATAGTGAAAAAAAAGGGGGTGGGGGAGATGTTGGAGACCAGGTTCCAGGACGAACAATCATAAGGAAGTAAATGTGGCAACAAGCCCAGCTTTCTTGACTTGCAGACTGAGCAATGGGCTCAACTGCATTCCTAGGGTTTGAGCAAAGAGCTTACCTGGGATCTCGGGACTCAGGAATGTGTGGTTTCCTGTTTATCAACTTGGCCTTGGTAGGGGATTCTGCTCCTGGAGAAACAAGGAAGGCTCAGGAGTTAACTAGAGCAAATGTTGGGCACAGGTTCAAAACTTTCTGCATATTAACCTTGGAAGAAAGAAACATAGTTACTGCACTGAACTAGGCCAAGCCAAGCCAAGCAGCTTGGTCTTCCTGACCCCTGGTTTCCTTCTTTCTCCTTCCGTCTTCCCTCTACCCTGTTCCTCTCTTCAAGAATTGGACCCCCAAAGCCATCATTCAGCCTCCTCCAGCACTGAGTCCCCACTTCTCTGCACTTCCCACATCTCACAGGAAGCACAGCCTCTGCTTTTTCAGTCCCTCCCCACACACCTGCAGAGGCCAGGAGCTGGCCAGCAGGTACAAGCTGGCCAGCCACGTGCTCTGCCTCCTTCCCAGGACACTGGACAAGCCCATCTACTCTTTTTATTTTTTTTACCTTTTTTTATTTTTCCCAAAGTTTTATTGATAAACAGATAGCAATGAGACAGTTTCAAATCAAATCGGAAGTACAGTTTCAACAAATAATACACTGCATATATTCTTCTTAGTGGTTAATTGCTTTACAAGATGCGGAATTGTGATCCTATTTACAAACACCATTAGAACAAATCATTCTATTCATTAAGAGAATGCAACTATATATCTATCCTAACCACTTTGAATACACAGATACAAAATGGACATTCATCGGTATACCCCATTTTTTCTAAGTTCCATTATTGAATATTATAGGTGTGTAAACTCAGCAAAATATTCTAAAAGAGTCCAGTAGCCCATAATAGTACTGGGTCTGTTTAACTGGAAATGTCAGAAATTATTGACCTGAGTCCCCCACAGCTCAACATAACAGCATGGCTTTATTTCCTATATTTCGTCTTCATACTTTTCTACTGGATGGTTAAGACCAAGGTAAAGCAGGACCTATGCAACAAGAGTTGTAGCTTTTTGGTCTGAGAAGGTCAGCGAAATGTCCTCAGGATTGATCCTGAGATCCTGTACCTCAGATTGTAGAATCTTTGTCAGTGCAGCCATGTGGATGAGTCACGGCCATTGCTTGGCCAATGTGCTCTCTGTGAAAGCCTGAGAGAGGCCCATCTACTCTTAAGGCTTCAGTTTCTCCACAGGGCCCAGAACTGAAAGGTGCTCAGACACAGAGCAGGTGGGCAAGACAGCCTCTGTTCAGTTCATAACTCCAGAGAAATGTTTTGTTCCTTAGGCCCCAGTAACACACCACTGAGGCCATTTTCAGGTCCCCTGATCTCCTGTACCATCATTAACTTACTAAAGTTTCTCAAAGAGGTAGCTGACCCCATCTGCCCTCTCCTTGTGTCACATGTTCTGCTCTCCACCAGGAGCTGAGCCACCACAAGAAGCTTTGTGACCCACCAGAGCAGATCTCACCACTCTCCTCCATTTAGAATACTTGGGAGAGATTCAGTGAGATACAATCTTGGGCATAAATTCACGCTGTTGTTCTCAACTGTGTGACCTTGGCTGATTCACTAATGTCTCCCAGCTCATCAATAAAATGGGGACACTAACTCTTTTCTGACAAAAAGATCCTGATACTGAAGACATAGAGGAATCTACAACTTACCAAAGAATCCTCTTGAGGCTGATTCTGTGAGTTTCAACACAACCCAGCTGGCCCAGTTGCTCTTTGCTATGTGGAGCCAGAGACAGCAGGTTAAATAGTCTCATGCACGTAAAAGGGAAACTGAAAGTGCATTTCCAAGGTATTTGTCCCCCTCCCTGCATAGCACTCCGAGGTGTAAATTCAGCCCACATATTCTAGGTCATTCTCAGCCAAGATAACCTCAGATGGAGGATCACTGTGGCCTTCAGGAAAAATGATTAGGGATGGGCCAAGGGTAGGGCCCTCTTAGACATCACTCCCTGATACCTTGGCCTTGGCTCTGAACACCCAGCATCACTGTTACCCATACTCACCATCGGGGGCTCTTTCCTGCCCTTCACACTTACTGCATCCTTTTTCTATGGTCTAGGTCTAGATGTCCCTCTCCCAGGGCCTTTTATAGTCGTGGAGTTCTTACAGGTGCTGAATCTAGAGTGTGTGGTTGATTTGCAGTGTAATTCTGAGAGGAAGGGTTCTGGGACTCAGGGTGGGTGATTTCTGGATCAGTCTACTGAATAGATTGACACAACCTTAAACTGGTGCACCTGGAAACCATATAAGGGACAGACAGAGGCCTATCTTGTTCATCCTCTCATTGCTTTGCTACTTTCTGTTTGCTAGGACCATTTTCCTCTGCCAGGCCACAGAACATTGGGGCCAGCAAACTATGACTAAAACCAGTACAAACTGTGAACTAAATAGTTTCTCCTTTACTTTTGTGAGTTGGGTATTTTATCTTACAATGAGAGAAAAAGTAACTAAGACAGAGTTTAGTACCAGAAAGAGGGGATTGTTGCTGTGAGTATACTTGGCCATTTGAGTCAGAAGCCTTTGGGAATGGCTTGTGCAAAGACCTTGGAAACATCTGCAGATGCTGGCTGAAAAAGCAGATTTGGAGCCCCTTAGACCATATTGTATGGGAGAATCTGGTCAGAGCTCA